GGATTTATCCCTCCTCTTGCGAATGTTTGAACCGTAGACGTCCACACTCCGTGGCCTGCGGGGATTCGGTGTTTTGAGGTGTTGGTGAATTTATTCAGATGTTTTTTAATGGGATCAATATTTGATGTATAAATTCAAAACTACTTGACTGAGTAAAGACTATGTTTGCATGATCCCAGGAATTCAAAATGTCTTTCAATCCGTTGTCCGTAATTCTCAAAGAAAACAAACTTGTTGGTCCCAATTATATTGACTGGAAAAGGAACTTGGATATTGTGTTGACTGCTGAAGGGTACAAATTTGCTACTGTTGAGGCTTGTCCGGCTGTGCCTGCGGACAATTCACCAGACCAAGAGAAAGAGGAGTATGCTCGGTGGAAAAAGGCTGACGAGATGGCGAAGTGTTACATCTTGGCATCTTCGTCAAATGTACTTCAACATCAACATCAGTCTATGAACACTGCAGCGGATATGCTACTCAATCTCAAGGAGTTATTTGGTCATCAGTCACGGGCTGCCCGACAAGAGGCCATGAGGGTTCTGATGAACATGACCATGCGCGAGGGCACTCCCGTAAGGGAACATGTTCTTGCTATGATGGCCCAGCTGAATGAGCTGGAGGTTCTTGGGGCTTTTATTGATGGGGAAACCCAGGTCGATATAGTGCTCCAGTCTTTGCCGAAGAGCTTCGAGCAATTCCGGTTGAATTATAACATGAACAAGATGTTGATGACTCTTCCGGAACTTGTTGCTGAGCTTCAGGCGGCAGAGGGCCTGTTTCGTCAGAAGACCCAAGCCATGGTGGCCCAGCGGGGAGAATCTTCCACTTCTAAGGCTCCTAAGGGCAAGAAGAAGAAGTAGTCCGCAGGAAAGGGCAAAGCGGTCATGAGTGACGTGCAACCTCGACAAAAGGCAAGGAAGCCGAAAGGAAAGTGCTACAACTGTCAGCAGAAAGGACACTGGAAGGCAAACTGCCCTCTTCCCAAGAAACCCGAAAAAGGTACTCCTTTTGCTTTAGTTGTGGAAACATGTTTAGCGGTGTTATCTACAGTACC